TTATAAAACTTTGAGCATCGAAAAGAAACTTATCACAATTGATAACGATAAAAATCTCGCTGCATATGTGCTTGGATTCTGGATACTGCACTGGTAGAAATTTTCATTGTGACACGCAGAACAGGTATATTTTTTGAGTAAATGTGAGACTCCTATGCAGAGGCAGGAAGTTTTTGATTGACCGGAAGTGACTTATAAACGGTATTATAGATACAGACAACACAGAACAATGACAGGTTGCCAGGAGACGGACGGGCATAATTATTACCCTTTTAGAATTTTATGGAAGAATGTGAGACAAATGTGCTTCGAGTGTCCTTTCTATTGTGTGTCGAACACATCTGTCTCATTTCCCATTTTTCGAAAACATGAATGTTTACGAACACATCTGTCACACCTCGTGAGACAAATATGCTCCGAGACAAATGTGCTCCTACACAGCCGTGCCTTAAAATGATAAATAATTTATTTAAAAATGAAAGGCGGGCAAGTCGATTTTTGGAAGTTATTTAGCGTGATAATGGTTAAATGCCAAGTACAAACCGTTGCAGATATGAAATTATTTGGTATAGGTATGACAACGTAGCATCTTCCATTTACTTCAAACCAACCTGCGCCGCAACTTGCAAGATCTCCAGCATAGACCACTGAAATATTTTATTTAGAAATTGAATTACATTTTAACAGTAATTTTCTAACATGACATAGACAAAACCAGTTTGCACCACAATTTGCAAGATCCCCTGAATATATCACTGAAATATTTTCTTTCGAAATTGAATGATATTTTAGAAGTTAGCTTCTAATATGACATAGATAAAAGACTTACTCTCTTTACGTACGATCAAAACTATAAAACTTTCAGAAAGTGGAAATTTCTACTCGATACTTCCAATCGTTTTTCTTTCTTTTTGTTTTTTGTTGTCGTTTTTAAAAAAAATTTTTTACAGAGTTTGAACTTATGATGCAAAAATGATTTTCTTTTCAGTAATTCAAATGATTATCTGAAAATTATTAGATAGTTATTACTTATATTTTAATAAAACGTCATGTCAGCTTTGTAAATAAAATCTTCAAATCTCCTTTTCGAAACTTGTCATTTCATAAGAAGAGTATCAATACTATAAATCAAAATACCAGTCTGATATATAAACCAGTTTTATTCTAAAAATGCTAAAAAAGTCTTCAAGCGTTCAATTATATCAAAAAGAACACCAACTTGCTTTTTTCATCAATATCATTACGGACCTTAATTGTCTATATTAAGGTCCGTGATATCCTCAGTACAGATGGATAAAGTAAAGCATAAAAAATATGTTGAACTGCTAAATTTTTAAGCAATTTAAAAAATGACTGAATAAAATCACGAACATAATTGCTCATCAGCTATAGAAAATGATGTTATATAAGACCAATATATTTTACCACTTATTAAGCAAGCGACAAGACCGAACAATCCGGATGTGCCCATTGTCACCTCAAGTATGTTGTAGTTTTCATACAGTATTCATTTATTTATAGAATATGTTGAAAATAATCTATGTATCATCAAGATAAGAAATAAAGATAATAATGTAGATAAGGTAAAAGGTCATATATGTCAGTCGATAAATATGGATTTTATGTTCTTACCTCATAATTAAATTTAGAAAATCTTACGTCTATTTAACTTGTTGCGCTGATAGCCCCCCCCCCCCCCCGGGTTACGACAGGTGACCAGAGCACAGTTCAGCCACAAAAGCGTTCCTGGGCAGACTGTCAGGCAGTATACCAGTACAAGTTGATGCCTTCACTTTCGCAAGGAACTGATAACGTTTGTACATGCCAGAGCAGAGGTACTGTGCTATTGACTGTAGAAAGGATTTCATGATCAATCACAACGAAAGTGACCTACACCGTCCAGGAAGAGAACCTTTATAATTTAATTGTTATACTTTTCAAAACGCCAAAATATAATATAGTTATATCGCCTTTACAAAATGTTTCATCCAGTAAAATATCTACTTTTATCACACACCCGTGCCGATTTTGCGACTCCGTAAATATGGTATTGCACGGCCGTGCATATATTTTGACGTGACGTCATTAGCGTTATACAAACATAGTGTAAAGACGCGCTAGAATGAAAAATGACTCTTATTTCACTTAAAACGGTCTTTATTTGGGTATGTGATAAATTAAATATTAAATTCGTGTAAGTTCATTACTGAATTTATTGCACTCGTTGAATAAAATAATATTATGCTCGCCAGAGGCTCGCATAATATAATTTTATTCAACTCGTGCAATAAATTCAGTATTGAACTTACACTCATTCAATATCCTCTATATTCATTGTTGTCTGTATCACAATATCAGGATAATGTATTTAGAAACAATCTCAATTCAAGCCAGATCTATTCTATTACTAGAATATATTTATATATTCCGGGTGCAATACTTTGATATAATAGAGATATTCGATATTAAAACACGAGTTTTACGTTGGGCTTAATGAAAATAATCCCCCCTCCCAAAAAAAAAAAAGAGAAAAAGATTTGATTTTTAAAAAAAAAGGAAAAAAGAAGAAGAAAAACCCAATAACTACAAAGTGTTCGAAATCTCCTTCACAGTGCCTGGCACTGATAGAAAAAGATGTTTTCACTCATTATTTAAATATGCGAAGGTTGAGTGGCAATATTACATGTCTCTGTTATTTAGGTGTCTCGTGAAAAGAGAGCGCTAAAAATGACTAATCATATCACTTGAAAGTATGCACACAAACAGATTTATATTTACATGCATCTTTTTAGTATTATATGGTTCATTTTTACGAATTCTGACTGTTTTAATGACACATGGCTGAAGTTTTACTTAATAACTAACAATGGGATGAATCTCACATGGATCTCAACATTGAGCATTGGCAGAAAGTATATGTATAGTTCCGCTGATCCAGATGAGGACTATATTAACACCATATGGTAAAATAGTCATTTCAAACTCTTTAAAGATATACTGTCTATGCTCAAATTTGATTTTTGAAAATATTGATAAATGCCACACAGTCACTGTGTATACAATGTATCTAAAATAAACATGTTTCGACTTCATTTAAAGTAGTTGTGTTATGTTTTGAACTATATACACAAAAGATGGTCTCAATATTAATATATATTGTCACTAAAAAAACTGGCAGTTTTTAGAAGAAAAGACCAACTTTAATTGACCCGTTATAAAGAATGCAGCTTCCCTTGCATTGTTTATTCATTTTTTTTATTCAAATAAAACATATTTGAACAGTAAAAATTTCATGGATTTCAATACATTTCTAATATAAAAATATTTTACCCAAAGACGAACATAGTTTATTTATGTAAAATTCAAAGGGTTTTTGAAGAAAACTGGAACGTGATAATTCTCTTTATATTTACACTGGCACATGCTTAAATCAATTTCATAACATATGCTATTATATATCAAGGTTTTTTTTTATGACAGTGAACACATTTTGACTGTTTTGCTTTATCTGGTCCATTTATTGGTAGCAATTAGTTTATAATTCTTTTCTCAAAAACACACTTCCTTTTTTTTTATATCTTTTTGAATGTTATCAACGGACAAGAAATAGAAATTGTAAACCATTTTAATTATCTTGGCACAGTTTTCAGCTACACTGGTAATTTTTCGTTGCACAGGGAACATTTGATTGGTAAATCTTTAAAAGCTTTAAATATGTTATTGTATAATTGTAAAGATTTTGATTTAAAGCCTACATTATTGTGCCAGCTTTTTGATGCATTTGTTGGATCAATTTTATCATACTCTTCAGAGATTTGGGGCTATAATAAGTCCAAAGACATAGAACGTATACACATGAAATTTTGTAAAAGAATTTTAAATGTTAGACAAAATACATGTTACGCAAGCGTATACGGAGATTTAGGTAGATATCCTCTTTTCATAAATAGATATGTTAGAATTATAAAATTTTGGTGTAGATTGTTAGTTACAGATAATATTATCTTGCAGAAGGTTTATGAACAAAGTTTATACGATTGTCATAAAGGTTGTAATAATTGGGTTAATGATGTTAAGAATATGCTTGATATGTATGGGTTTTCCGATTATTTTGTTAATATTAATAAAGTTGATTGTAAAATTTTTCCAAGATTATTTAAACAAAGACTGTTGGATAATTATAGACAAGAATGGAATACATCGATTGAAAACAGTTTAGTATTGGATCTTTATAAAAGTTGTAAAACAACACTACTATATGAAAATTATTTAGATATTTTACCAAAACACTATAGATTTTTTATTACAAGAATGAGAATGTCAGCTCATTCACTGAGAATTCAAACTGGAAGGTATGGTCAAAATAGATTGCCACGTAATGAACGATATTGTCTTTGCTGTAACAATGTTGATATAGAGGACGAGTACCATTTCATATTGATATGCCCATGTTTCTTAGAAATTAGAAAAAAGTTTATTAAAAAATACTACTATAAAAGGCCTTCCGTGATAAAGTTTATTGAACTACTATGTAGCAATAAAAAGAATATATTATTTAATCTGGTAAAATAGATAAAAGAGTCATTAAATTACAGAAATACTATTGTTAATTCTGTCAGATAAATTTGATTTATGAATATATATGTCTTATTAAAGAAATTCCATTCAACATTTTTATGTATAGATTTTTTCTGAAGATATGTCTGCTATGTAAACATGTATATTTAATTATGTTTAAAACAGTTTATCCTCAACACTATAATACCAATTTTTGTTAATTTGAAATAACATTCTAGAATAATAACTAAAGTAACGTGACATTGTCTTTAAAGTTTGTTTTAATGCATTGGAAATTAGTATTGAAAATGTATTGTAATGTATTGCAATGTATTATCACACTATGTATGATTATGATTATGTACTATGTACAAGTCGAAATAAAATAATGTTCTGTTCTGTTCTGTTCTGTTCTGTTCTGTTCTGTTATCATGAATTATATGTCATAATGTCATTCTCAGATAGAGTGTCATGACCGCAAAATAGATAATTCGTCGCTGAATAAACTTTACCGGCTTAACGGTGTTGGGTTACGTATATCCACCGCAGAAAGGTGTCATTGGACGTCCTAGATGGTAATCACTTTATGACATCCCTTTCCTGGAGGAGGCGGAGTTTCGAAGTCACATGCTTATGACATCACAGAAAAACAAGATGGAGGCTTCCAAAACGGAGGCGCGGGAAATTGTCCAGAAAAAATACCATTTTTCTGGTTCAAACTCCCTTAAAAAATTGGGAGACATCAATTTTTAACACGAGAAACAAACCAACTCTCTTTTCGTGTAAGTAAAGACCCGTAAATAAGCTTAAGATACCCTGTATGTTTCATTCTATTATTGTCAATTTTGTTAGAAATTATACTGAAAAGCGAACGGAACAAATACGCGGAAAGTGTTACTGGACACACAGGGACCCCTCATGACCTCCCTACTCACAGGCACTAGACACAATTATTTTACCCATATACGCTCATAATACTTTATAATTATAAAGAATATTCTTTATATATAGTATAATGAGCGTATATGGGTAAAATAATTGTGTCTAGTGCCTGTGTCCCCACTGGCACTGTAGTGTAGAGAACTGTCTGTATTTGTGCGATATTTTGCAGACAGTTTCTCCCCATTTTATTCTTTTAAAAATATCGTTTTTTTCTTATTTGATATAAATGGGTTGACGTAGCCTACAGAGCCCCCTCTTGACTAGATCTACAGGGTTGAGACGACTCGGCCCTATACCTGTATACCAGCTCGGCACTATACCTGTATACCAGCTCGGCACGGGTCAACTCGGCCAACTTAAAAAAAAACATTCATTTTGTTCTGATTACTTGCATGTCATCAAGACCATCTAATCACAGGAACCTGAAATTATATCCAAAACATAAAAATAACGATTTAAAAAAAATCCCATATATATACTATAATTTTTATAGTATATATTATATATATATATATTATAGGTGGCGCGATAGCTCAGTTGGTTAAACCACTGACTATCACTCCTGAGGTCCCGGGTTCGATCCTGGGTTACACCCTTGGGATTTTTCAGAGACACTTTCAGTGTTTCCCACCTACATAGAGGTGTACTGGTAAGAAATCCAGGTAATCCTCGCATGTATCAGTGCTATACACTGGGCATGTAAAAGAACCAAGGGGTCTATTCAATAAGAGCTAGGGACTGGTTCCCGGATTCCCTTGTATCTTAAAGCTGTTTCTTAAATGTATACAATGTATACCTGCCTGTAACACTCGTAAGAGGGGTTGGCAGTATCCAGAGATAGATAGATATATGGGTTTTTTTTTTGTTTTGGACATAATTTCAGGTTCCTGTGATCTAATATATTTTAAATGAAAAATAAGAGATATCTGCGGATCAGCTTTACTATTATATTATTGTATTATATTATACATAGGATGGTCCCCTATGGTACCACTGTTCTTATTATTTCCAGCAAATTGTGCAAATAAAAAGAACTTGTATTTACTATTTTATTGAATTGTGTTTTGTTGTCGCATCTTGACATTAAAATACACATGTCATTGATAGAAATAACTCCAAAATTTAAATTAGAAACATCTATGGTCAGTCAGCCATGTTTTGAATGGGAGCTTAAACGGAGAGCACTATGGTACCGTTGTATGTTAATTGATGGCCCTTTTTTAATTCAGTATAATTTTTTGTAACAGAATATGATGTCACTACAGTTTCAGCAGACAACCTTCACTTGTCGGAACATGAAATTATAAGTTTAACTGTTAAATATGGGGTAAAATAAAGAAGTATTTTTAACACACACCGGCAGCTTTGGATTTTCCTATCAATGACAGAATTTATTTGAAATGGAAAAAATTCTATCCAAATTCACAAAAAGCAGCACTTCCACTTTCACTTTAATGGTGGAAACAGTATTTGGTGGCATTCAATGTGTAAAGAAACAAATTTTCTGATTACATCGGAATGGGCAAGGACGCTGTACCCGCGGGGAGTACTATACTTCATTGTATCTAATCTCATGCAAACTAGTTAAATCGGCCCAAAGTCAGATCGGCCCCAAGTCAAATCGGCTCAAAATCAGTCAAATCGGCCTCAAAATTAGTCAAATCGGCCACACAACAATTTTTAAAAGTCAAATCAGCCCCAAAATTAGTCAAATCGGCTCCAAAACTAGTATCAAATCGGCCCTTAAGTTATTTGTTGGTTATTGAAAATGACTGATAATTGTATAGACTGTGGAAGTGTTGTGAGGAAACGGCAGGAGGCAGTCACTTGTGATGACAACATAGGAAGTGTAATACCGGTGAGTTACTTTAATTGACAAAACTTATCAGGAGTAAAAATATTGCCATTACATTTGAAAATATATCATCATGACTAACAGGTTTAAATATATATTTAATACTTAAAAATAATGGTGAATTAATTGCCATAGCAAAATAATTAAAAAAAACCCAAAACATATCTATATCTAAATTCAATTTTTAAAGAGCAGTTTTTACATTGACTTTTTTTTTTTTGAAAAAAAAGTAGAGGTATTGCTATAGTCTTATTTCTTGGTGTATTGTCTTCATACTTGGCCACAACAACCCTTGGGACAAGACCTTTCAGTAGACCACACTAAACTTGACCTTCATCTATAAATGACTTTGACCTTCAAGGTTAAAAGTCCAAATTTTGCTTGTTCATGCTGTTATTGACTGTAACTTTGTTATTTTTGAATGGATTGTCTTCAAACTTGAACATAATAATCTTCAAGGATATCCCTTAAAAATAACTTGACAGACCTTGACCTTCACTCATAAATGACCTTGACTTTGAAGGTCAAATTATTGAATTTTATTTTTTTTTTTGGCTATTATTGCCTGTAACTTTGTTATTTTTGAATGGATTGTCTTCAAACTTGAACATAATAATCTTCTTGGATAACACTTAAAATAACCAGACAGACCTTGACCTTCACTCATTAATGACCTTGACCTTTTCATTGTTTTTGCTGTAACTGGCTTTAACTTTGCTATTATTGAAGGGATCAGCTTCATATTATAACAAAACATACTTAAGGACAAGACCTTGTCACCACCACATGTAACCACCATGTGACACCACCAGCACTTGACACCACCAGCACATGACTTCACCACATGTCACCACCACATGTCACCACTACATGACTCCACCACGTGACCCCACCCAAGAATCCACCACGTGACTCCACATGTCACCACAACATGACACCACCACGTGACTCCACGTGTCACCACAACATGACACCACCATGTGACACACCATGTGACACCACATGTCACCACAACATGACACCACCATGTGACACCACGTGTCACCACCATCAGTTCACATGTCACCACCACGTGACACAATGTGACACCGCCATGTGATACCACATGTCACAACCACGTGTCAACAACTCCAGGTATGTGCGTGTTTCTATTTATAGAATTGCGTGTTTCTGTTTATATATATATATATATATATATATATATATATATATATATATATATATATATATATATATATATATATATATATATATATATATATATATATATATATATATAAATGAGTATATTTTAAAGATTTTGTTCAAACATTTCTTTGTTTGCTTTTAGAGAAAGTTAAAAGTTGAGCGTTGCCCCCGCCTGCTGGTGGCTCTTGTTTCCTTGTTGCCATGACAACCAGAGTTCTGCTTATAATTAAATTCTTTGAACAAATTTTTAAAGTTGACTACCAAAGGAACATTCCTGTGAAGTTTAGATGGAATTGGCTTAGCAGTTTAAGAGGAGATGTCATTTAAAGTAAAAGTTTATGGACAGACGGCTGGACAGGTGAGCTAACAAGCAAAAACTTGATTGTCCTGCAAGAATAATTATCAAGTCAATAGTTTGATTTCCAGTTTATATGTAATGCCACTCTTAATTCAGGGTTCCCACGGTCAGGGAAAAGTCAGGGAAAAATGATTTTTTTTCAAGGTCAGGGAAAAATCAGGGAATTTTGAAATTGGTCAGGGAAATTTGAAAAATATGCAAAAGTCAGGGAAAAGTCAGGGAATTTTGTAGAAAAAAATTTTTGTCAAACAGCAAGAAGCAAAATCAGTAAAAGCTAAGGCAGTTTCTTCCATTATTTTGGGTATCTTTGTTATTTTTGATTATGAGCTTCTGTTTTATTTTCATATTCTTTTACTCTTATAAATGATTATGCTTCTGCCTGAAGATTTTGGATATTTTTGTCTTTAACAGTAACTAACTTATTAAGAAAGAAGCTAAAAGGAGTTTAAGCATCCATTGCCTCCAGAGCTATTTATGGTTTGTTCTTGTGAAAGAGGCTGATAATCTGCTCAGGAGGCTGAAAAAAAGATGAAAATGGACTTGCTTTTGAAGTCAAATGCCAAGTGCAATGCCTTCAGGGTCAAGGTGAAAGAAAAGTATTAAAAGAATCCAGTTAAGATATTGAGAAACTTGAGAAACACTTTGTGGACTTCGATTAAGTGCCATGTTGTGTTTTTGCACACATGCATTAAACCATAACTTTGAGATACTAACTGCCATAGCTAGTTTTATTAGTAGTATTATTAGCTCTTACTGCATTCTGCTTTTTATGTAGCCACTTTATTACCTGTCTTATTGTTTCTTGTCCAACACCAGTTTTCCATTGATTATTATCATATATTTTATTAAAATGCAGGCCTGTTTTAGTCAATCCTCCAATGATTACACTGCTTTGTATTTTTTAAGAGAATGAAACATCTTTGTATTATCAAATACTTTACATTTTGGATAAATGTACTCATACTTGTTGAAAGTAAACAAGACAAGTAGCTTATGACAATTGCTCACTAATATTCATTTTTTTATCTTGAATAATTTAAAATAAAGAATTGGAGAAAATAGGTTGGCTATTTGGGGAGGAGGAGGTCGAAATACATGTATAAAAAATACATTTAATGCTTTAAGATTGTGCAAACTTGACGCTGTTATTGGTCAGGGAAAAATGGTCAGCTTTGTGTTGGTTTGTCTGTCTGTTGGTCCATTACATTGTTTGCGGACAATAACATTAGTT